AAACTGTATGTGTATTTTGCGTTCGTTAGATCATGTATCGAGGAAGGCTATATGCTATAAAGCATCGCGCTGTAACTAATAGGGGCGAAGAAACAGTGGAAAATGTGGAAAGAACGGGAAAAAACATTTTTTCTTCTTTGTGGCTTTCCGATGCGTACGTTAACGTTACGAAAACGGTTCAAGTTACCCAAATGATATGTTAGAAAAAAGTATTCCTCTTTTAATAAAGATCCCAAACACCGAGTTAACTTGCAAGAACGACGGGTCCGACGTCTTGAGTCTGACAGTTTAAATCTATGAAGATGAAGAGTAGGTTTGCAAAAACAAATTTGGATGCCCATAACAATTATTCTAGACGGACGTATCAAATATTCTTACCAATATAATCTGATTTAAGAAAATATAGACTAAACAAGTTCAGAATTTTCCTTTAAAAATAAATAAGTCTTCTTTCACACATGAAACGGCCGTAAGCCGCGGATAATCCAACTTGCGTAAACAGGATTAAATTTTATATAGGACTAGCGGAAACCACAATAATCATCACTAATATCTAGTCAAGACTACCTTTTACTAGGTGGGGCATGGGGCAGACACACTTCTGTGTCCATTTCGTTTTAGTTCACCAGACTCTGGCTCGACCGAACGAATGATTCAAACTATTATTTAGTTATATTATTGTTTCTTTGCGACGTAAACTCCTTTTAACATTGATTTCCAATGCCTTCCGATTTCGCAATGTGTTGTAACAATTGTTTATATTCTAAAACGTTCTTAAAACCACGAAAGAATATCTATATTCCAAAGTTAATCCATTTATACAGTTAGCTATAAACAGCTCGGGACAAACTAGCCCGACTGCAAATCATTATTTTATAAAATTATTTTGTGCTTATAAATGTTGCATAAGCATTGTTTCTTACTTAACTCATTTCTAATGAAATTGTATAACACTGTAAAAAACGTGGATTGTCGACCTATTTTGACTTCGGTTCATTCAGGGCTTTGCCGTCACTGATGCCGACACTGACGATGCAGGTGGTTGGGGATCCATTTAATATCCACAATTTCGAGGCCAAGTCTAAAACACTTTTAGCGGTTTTAAACGCGAAATATATTACTTAACTCGTGCAGTATTTATTTCAATTATGACCACGAGTGGGGTACCTACTCGTAACCAGGAAGAGTATCCGAATCATCGGGCAGTGACGGTATCGCTACTCGCGTAAACACAGGCAGTATTTAACATGTACATGTATTTGAAAATATATAAATTGTTTATAGAAACACATCGGACCTGCTGGAATACAATTAACCATACACCGACACATTACTTAGCCATAGAGTGGTGGTACCATTAGATCAACGAATTGATATAATTCTATCAGCTAATTGAGCTAAAATATTTCAAAGAAACATATTTAAACCGTGTAAGACTTCGTCGGAAGAAAACCAAAATAGTTCGACCGCGGATCTAGTTTAAATGTTGCATGGCTGGGGTGAACGTCATTAGGTATCCTCCTCTGTCATAAAAACACCGATGCCAACCATACCTTCGTGTGATGCAAGTTATCCTCGTGGCACAGTACATCTTAGCACCCTTAGCGCTCGGCGCACGGAAGGGTAAGATCGCTCGATAAATTTGTATGCAAATGAGCGAAGCTCGCGGCAATAATCGTTCGTCGGCGTAATAAATAACGTTTACGATTCGACGACATCGGCGGCAACCCTTGCTGGGGAAATTAACGCGACGCGGGTGGTTCGAGGCACCTACGGCACTGTTTATCAGCGGGATTTGAATATCCGGCGACGCGGATATCGGTATTCGAAATTAATACGATACGATAGCTGAAAAATATACATTTTATGAGGTTTTCGCGGCTATTATACAAAGATCCCTTAGTCTTCAGGCTGTAAGGCGAATATAATTTAATTTACATTTTTTTTTTTAAAACAAGACACTTTCAACGGTTTAAGACACGAAATATATTAAGTAAACTTATTTTATTATTTACATACAGATAAAATTATATAGCAACATTTTAACGCTGTGTTTATTCTATTTATGCCTTCTAAGCATATTTAGCTAGTCCAAAAGTTAACAATAAAACCGTAATTATTATTCTTCCACCGATAAAGCGTACATTTTGTAATAGTGTTTAAGGCATCGATAATGACCTATGTTATATTTAGTGTTCGTTTACCTCTTTTGGGCTCTAGCTTTCTTCTAATCACTTCCGCCATCGCGATCTACCCTGTACCCTGCGCCCAAGTTTTCCATGGCGTTAACTCCATGCCACTAGATTTTTAATATTAATAAAAAATTTGATCGAGAAAGAACAGACAATCACTTGATAGAAGGTAATTGTCCTAGCCCTATAATTTATATTTTGAGCAGTGGCAAAGTATGGACAACTCTTCACACAATATGATCAGCATCAACAGAAAGCAGCAGTTCCATACATTAAGAATGTGTAAAAAATCACTCAGCGAAAATGTTTTTTTCCACCTTCAAATCATTACTCAACGCAGTAAAAAATTCAACACTATCACTTCAGTGTTAGTTCGCAAAGGGCGAAAGTCACACAAGACAGATCCGTAATTCAATTTGGCAAAAGGGTTGGCAGCTATGCGGAAACGGGGGGCAGGAGAAACGAAATCTCGGGGGTACTGTGTCAAAATGTATGCGGTATTCCGATTTCGGGTAATTGATGGGATCAATGACAACACAGTGTCTGATTACCCCCCGAGACGTGTTCGATAGTTAACGAGAACGTAAAAATTCGATATTATGTCGCTGATGTATGTGTGTACTGAGCATAATTAAGGAATAATCATGTTATTCTCTCGAATAAACAGCTGACCACTTTCCGTTAAGTCACAGTAACGGACACACAAGTGTGTCTGCCCGTAGACTTACGCAGAGGAAATGGGGTTTCACTTTATATTATTTGACAGAGTATGCTCTAAAAATTTTCAATCTTTGTAAACGTTTCGTCGGACTTTTCATTGTGTAACTATTTTATAATATAATAATTCCAGTAGGATTTCTTAATTTCTCTTTAAAGATTGCGTGAAAGCTGTTTCGTGATCGTATAGTAAACAAAATCAAATTTACTTGCACCGATTGAGGCGTCAACTCTTTTGACGTGGACAAAATTAGGCGACAAACTTTTCCGACAATGTTCCCCCAGCTAGACATCTGTCAGAGGCAAATGTCTTGTGGGCTCCGTTTCTCACTGTTATCGTGGAACAAAAAAGTATTATGCTAGATAGCAGTAATACTGCTTTTATCGTGTTAGATATCATTATCGGGTTAAAAAGTTAGGGCAAAATGAAAAAAATATTATTTAGAGTTTAGAGCTTTGGCCTTCCTTAACACTTAATAATTAGGTACTGATAGTATGTAATACTAATTTAAATAAAACACTAACAGTTTAAGAGCGCGATATATTTGAGTGCATCATCCGCATCATCTTTGCGAAACGCCGGGCCGTAGTTAAAAATAATTTTCAAACAAGCTTACCTAAAATATATCGCGTTTTAAACTGTTAAAGTGTTTTATTTCAATGTGTCAAAACATATTTTGATATTGACATTTTAAGCATTAACTCCTTGCTCCGTCAATACTCTCCAATGGGTAAATAAAATACATGGATAGGTTATTACGTCACCTTTGTATATGTTTATTCTTAAAAATAAAATCTCTTACTTAAACTAAAATATATTCGTACTGGCCAATATTTATAAAACTCTCTATGGGTAACCAAAAAAAAGGCCTTAAGTCTGTTTATGTAATAGCTTTTCCTTAAACACAGTCGAGAGTCACATTACGAAACACGAAATAAACTAAGGCATCCCTTTTCCACTAAACTCGAAACTTATTGAAAAGTTTCTTACGATATTTTCGATTCGCGGTGTCGTAAAATTTATCGAGTTAAATGAAGTTTCATTGTGTACATTTTGAGGGCTTCCAGTGGATAAGTTCGTGTTAATTTTAACTTCGTAAAATACCAACTTTGACTTACAATCTATATTTTAAAGGTGGACTTTTAGTAACTTAGATATTTGGAGCATTTGCCACCTAAGACATGAAAGTAAGCTAAGTATTATTAAAAAAAATAATTGTCAAACGACAATGTTATATTTCACCATGTTTTATTCTAAAGTTTGCGAATTAGAGGGCGAGAACTTATTTTTACGAAGCAAATATGTTCTTCGTAAGTTAACTTTAGTGTAAACTACAGACATAAGAGCAAACTATAAGAATTTCACTAAAATATATTAGATTGACATGTAACATCACAATAAGAATCTCAATCAATACCAATTTCTCAGTAAGTTAAATTGAGCAACAATAAAAAACATGTAAATTTTCAGCTGCAACCCTATGCAATGCAAATGGTAGCATGCAACAAATGCATTCGTATCGCAATTTTCATGTAGGCCCGTTTGATTGTAGTGCGACATTTGTCGTATGATTTGTGGGACTTGGGTGGATGGGACGAGTCACGATAGCACTTGTGATCAATTGGCGCTTTATTTTACGGAGTAAAGTTTCTAGAAATATATCAGCAGGGGTTTCCACTGAGTAAAATTATATAAATTTGTCCAAAAAACTTAACATTTTGCGAAAAGCTAATAATAGTCGGTAGTTAAGTACTTGGTTACTGAAAATATAATTAGACAGCCAGTGAAATTTATTTTGATTGAGGTAAATACCATTTTTACTCTACTTTCTATATAATATTTTTCATTCTGTATTTACTTTTAAGTTAAATTGTTTCATATACTTCATTTGCCTCTAATTGTAACAGTATATATTAAATTTATCTAATAGATATTTTTCTTATCTCTAAGTGTTTCAATTATAAAGTTAGCAAACCTGCATAAAGAAATAATATACAATACAATATAAACATACAATACAATTATATGTCTAGTAGTTTATCATTGCAAAACAGTACTCATAGATAAAATAATAAGAAAAAAAGACTTACTTTTCTCATGTCGTTGCACAGCCAATGCAGCACACAGCAGTGCTAAAGTTTTTCCAGATCCTGTAGGACTCTCCAGCAAGCAGTTTTGACTTTTATTTATGGCTTTTATGACCTGCAAGAAATATTGAATACATTCAACATACATATATAAAAGATATAAATAATTAATTATAAAAAATAATAATTAACCTACAAATTTATATTTTAAAGCTAGACAACACTTAACTTACATTATTGAACATAAACAGACTTATTTACACATTATATTCTAAAAATCAAATGCAATTAGGTGTTTAGAAGCTTTTAATTTTTTTTTTCAGTGAGTAGAATGTGAGTTTTTAAGCTCTGGTAAAGAGTCACTAAGACAATCTTAGTAACTCTTGTATATTATATTAACAGGCAATTTGATGCTGTCAAGAATTATTAAGTATGTGAAAACCTGACCGCCTCTGTAGCGAAATGCCTAGCATTGCATTAAGCAGGAGAGGTCCTGGGTTCGAATCCCTGGGAATAAAAAAATTGTTCGGTTGGGCAGGGCACAGAAGTCTGATAAAACTACTACTTGCCTGTTAAAGAAAGGGTCAGTGAAATGGACATAGAAATGTTTTTTTGCCCCATGCCCCACAAGGGGGAAACGGGATTTCACTTTTATGTGTAAACCTGCTTTTCCTTATTGGGAATTGGGTGATAAACGTTATTTATACAGAAGTGCGATTAAATAGTCAATAGGACTTCTGTACCTTGCCTGACCAAAGAAATATTACAAATGTAATAAGTTTTATTTGACTAAACCATTAAAAAGAAATACATTTGTTTAGGATTTAGGCCCACTTGGTTAAAAGCCCTCCAGTTCTGTAAAATATTTACCGTAGACATCAAAGCCATTTGACTAGGATATGGGTTCACAGGTAGATTGACTTTAACACCAACAATCATCCTTTCTACACCACTTTCTGTTGGTATAGTAGCATACTTTCCTTTAACAGGGTCTGTGTTAGATGTGGTCGTGGTAGGTTTTGGTTCTGGCTTTGAAGATATAGTTGAGTTTATGGTAGGAAAGAGCTTTCTGATGGCATCCTGTCGTGTTCGTATGTTGACTTCTGGTAACGCATCTTCATCAGAAGATATTTCACAGGACACCGGTTCGAGCACCTTCACTTCTGGAGCTTCGAAACTTTCATCGTCCTCAGATATTTCAATAGCGGCGTGATCCGACATTATGAAATCACACGGATATTATTTTAAATAACTGCAATTCGTTTTAAATAGAAACATTGTTTTCAAAATATCAGCTGCTATAAACGTCAACGTTTGACGTTACCAGTTTTGACAATTAACAACTCGGAGCCACAGACTTTTTAAGAAATAAAATTTAACGCACGATTTTTATAGTTTTCCGTTATAATGTACAGTACAAAATTTACAGAATAGATTATAAATATAGAAGACATTTTAATAACTAAAAAATATTAATTGGATCTTGAATGAGCTTTGATTTTCGCTCGTTGATCTTTTGCATCATATGACGACGAAACTTTTCTGACTCTCATATAAACCTAAAAATTAAGAGTTCATATTATTAATATACATATCACATATAAAATACAATTTTATTTTATTTTTAAATATAATGTTTATAAACATACAAAGATAAAATAGATACTATATTATTGAACTTACCAGTTGTGATTAATTTATCTTAACGATATTTTGCAAATACAATATTTTGAAGCTCATGGTTTAGATGCGTTCGGACCGAACATGAAAGAAAATAATGACAAAGCTACTGCCCAGCCTAACCAACACATTGCTTATTTTTTCCTTTTTTATAGTTTTACACTTTTTTTTATTTATAATTTTAGCTAAACATTTTAGTAATGCGATGTGATTATCATATTTGACGTTGTCTACTTATCTATTAAATTAGAGAAACAAACCTCTTTTGATTTTTACAATTTATGATTAAAAGAAACTAAAGAGTATTTATTTAAAAATGAGATAATAAGGCTGAAAAAGAAATGTTGTATAACTTCGTACTTATAACGGATGCCTCAATGGTTAAAACTATTTTTTGTGATAAGGGAAAGAGGTTAAAGGGCGAATGTAAGGGTGTCGGTTCAAATCTCGATAAAAAAATATATTAGGCATGATACCTTACACTTCTAGAAGTATAAGATGAAACCCACAAAATGTAATGTCTCCAAAACACTTAGAATTAACATTTGATACCTTTTTATTGCGTATCTAATACTCTTTAGGGAAGCTCTTGATCTGTCTAATCCTGGCTTAGATTGTTAACACAGTGACACCATAAGTGAATGACATACATTTACAATTAATTTATGATACACGAACGCCTGACTTCATGGTTCATCCGCGGAAAAAAATAAGTTGAAATGTAATTAAATTTGATTTAGATTTACGGATTTGAATCCTCAAATTAGTATCTGAATGGCTAAGTTTAGTTAAACGTTACTTTTTTGTTTTATTCTTTATTAACTTTTGAAGTATTTTTTCTAAGTCAGATATAAGTTGTAGCATGTTTTTAGGTTCGTTTCGCACAACTAACTCAATATGGGTATACCAATATCAATGAAAAACGGTGATCAATAAGTTATATTTTAAAATAGTAGTAAATTAAAGTTTCTAGGAAACTGAAATTAATGCTCATTCCAATGAACATTTTCAAAGCTATTTTACAAGGTATTTTGAATATACGAGGAATAACAAAGCATTTGTAAATAATCGTATATTTGAGTGCATTTTTAGGCTTGTTTGGTAAGTGAATACTAATATACGAAACGAATTTAATAATAGAAAAATATCCAAAACGACGTTTATACCCTTACAATAATTTGCATGGATAATTTAAGGCGCCGCCGACACCCTATTTTTCGGGCCATTCAACAGTTTATGTCCGCTTTAATACGATTCGAACAAATTGGTGTATGCCATAAATTACAGAGCAACGAGTAAGACGCATCCCTTGTAGCCGATGTTCCCCTTCGCTATAAAATTATAAGTTACACGTAACGTACGTTCACAGCGTATTTCAGTGAAAATACCACTTCTCGTAATTCTAGACTAAGAATAAGAATTTCGTAAACACTAAAAGAGCCTTGTAATTTTCTCGATATACGAAGTTACAGTATTAATCTAGTAACCGTTACAATATGAACGCGCGTTAATTGGACGCTCGTTCCGGTATTTTTTTATTAAATTCGTTTTAAACAATTTAACACAATGTCACTGCTGACAGTCAGAAACTGTTTACATAATTTTTGTGTCAAATTAAGTAAAATTCATAAAAAACAAAATCGTTGCAAATTTGGCGAATGGCGAAAACGTTGGCGAATCAATAACCAATAACTAAACTTATCATTGCAGTTTCTGGTTATTGCGGCTAATATAATTAATATAATAGCAAGCTATCCTAAATCTATACTTTCTCAGTAAAATAATTTTTCAAAAAACCTGATGTCTGATGTTTTTTGTTATCAATATTCACTGTAACAAAACCTTAGTTGAAAGCTTTACTTTTTGTTGACTTATACAGCTTATAATTATATGTCACTAGCACATTGACAACTAACTACCCTCACACAAAACACTTTCAAATGTTTACACTGCAAATTATATAGGTTATTATAGTTATGCTTTGCAGCAGCCATGGTCACGGGTCACGTAGGGCCGAAGGTAAAAATAAATTGTAGATAAGTTAACTAATATTTTACGTTGTACTAATGTTTGTGTTTAATATAAATTTGTATTACTCGCGTAAACTATAATATTACCTAATTACTTATTTAACATAGATAAGAAGAAAAAGAATTCGATCTTTATTGTAGTTAATCTTCTAATTCCTAACGATCCATATACAATAACAATAGCAGACCCAATCGAATAAAGGAACAATACTTCAGAGTTACTCACTAAAGATAAGTAAGCCAACTAAATAAGAAAGTTCCAGCTAATTTAATGGCAAAACTTGTATCGTAGTCAATTTATATGGCGTTAGTTAGGGGTTCGCGCGGAATGCGAGGCTACTGGGCTCTTAGTACGAGTTCTACTGCTAAAGGCCAGAACATCATTATGTTTTTCGGTTTTGTACTCTTCTTGTTTGATAGAAAAAATTAAGTGTTAGTATGCAAAGTAGATTTTGAAAACTTTAGTGTAAGACAAAAAATAAATATTTTAGTTAAAACTCTAAAATATTTCTTCTCTCCTATAATCAACTTTAGTAACTTATTTCTATTAGCAGATTAATATATAATTAGATTTTGTATTAAGTACATGGAATACATACATATTCTACTCGATATCTTAAATAAATGTTATTAAATAGAAAAATATCAAAGACTTCTAACGTTCTCGCGACTCGAAGTGAAAACGCATACTAGGGGTCCCAGAGATTGATATCTCAAAGTAAATGTGTTTGTTTCCGTTTCTGGGCATTTTATTGCAATTGACACTTGATGATCCCGTCGAATGGTTAACTCGGCCATTAATCTTTCGTCTGAGAGATTGCGGCGGCGATAAAAGATATAAGTGCAATCAAAGCGGTTAATTAAGTGACGTACTTTTCGATTGAGTTCGCTATCTGCGAATCAAATTAATGTCTTGATCCATTCGCGTTAATTCGATGTGAAAGAAAGCAAAATAGATCAGACTTTCAAAGATAACTAGAGCCGCGGTGAAACTGTAAAAATAGAAAGATTGACATTCGTCGTTCTACATAAGTAGTAGGTATAGTAATGTCCACAGACATACAAAAAATACGCTTGAACATTTAGTATTGTTATATGTATTGTTGGAAATCAGAAAAGCTCAACTACCCGCCACACTGAAGGCTATATAAACAAGCCTCAAGCAACGGCTCACACACTTTTTTTGCCGTTCGTTGTACGGAACGGACGTGCTGCCGGTCGATAGGATTTTGTTGAATTTTAATTTATTTTATTTAGTTGTTGTGTTATTTTGTTTTTATTTTAGTAAATCCGCTTCTGATACCTAAAATCAGTAGTGGGATAAATATTTTCACGCCCTCGGATAATTACAATTTCAGCTTTTTATATAGAGATAGTTTTGACCGTTATGGGTAGATCAAGTCGGTTTCGTTCTAAAGGGAATGGATACGCGTAGAACGCTCACGAAGTAGACATTCGCGAAGTAGGCGATCACGCAGCACGTCCCGTAATTATCGTAGGAGAGACTATCGCCGTCGAAACGTTGACCGATCACGTAATCGTTCTAGGTCTAGGAGTATATTGTTACAACGTGCGTGTCCTTAGTCTTTAGAGGCTATAATTGCGCGTTTAGCTACCTTGGAGGGTAGGTCGTTGAGATTTTATCAACTCAGGTCGGTTCTGAAAACGCAACACCTGTAATACGAGCTTTGGTACGTGATGTCGCCATCGAGTCAGGTAAAAACCGTGAAGCCTTTCGAGAAGGAAAGGACAAGGAAGACAAAGGACGGCCGAACGGTTGATGCAAAATGAAGTTGAACAACACAGGCTGCTGCCCAATATATGGTGCCTAGATACTGCACACGTCTTTATTTAAATGTCTGTAATGTTTTTACTTAATGTTGCAGTTGTGAATGTGAGCATCGGCGATTGACTTCGCTGGTGTGGTGGTCGTGCAGCGTGGCTGTATGGGAAGTTCTGGGGGAACCCTGGAGATGCGACCTGTTCCCATGGATGTTCAGCTGTGTGCACATCCTGGAGTTTTCTATGGATGTTTAGCTGTGTGCACATCCTGGAGTTTTCTATGGATGTTTAGCTGTGTGCACATCCTGGAGTTTTCTATGGATGTTTAGCTGTGTGCACATCCTGGAGTTTTTTTATGGATGTTTAGCTGTGTGCACATCCTGGAGTTTTTTATGGATGTTTAGCTGTGTGCACATCCTGGAGTTTTTATGGATGTTTAGGTATTCTCCTTTGCGCTGATGAGCCTGCGGCAGGTTGCGGGTTACGCGACTCGTCTCTACGAGCCTGTCAGTAGATGTGCTGCTGAGCAGCGTCAGGCCGGTGGTGACGTCGGTGGCTTCGTCTCGTGCACCGATGTCCTGGGTGCTGCACGCTTCGTGTGAGGAGGATGTTGAATGGCTACTCTTCCACACCCCGACGATCCTGGTAGCGGCAGCAGGCGCTCGAGGACACGGGCGGCTTCGTCTCGCGCACCGACGTACTGGGTGCTGCACGCTTCGTGTGAGGAGGATGCTGAATGGCTACTCTTCAACACCCGGCGATCCTGGTAGCGGCAGCAGGCGCTCGGAGACGCGGGCGGCTTCGTCTCGCGTACACCGTGTCCTGCGCTTCTTGTTCGTGTTCAATGGCTGCGTCAGGAGAGCGGCAGCAGGCGCTCGGGGACACGGGCGGCTTCGTCTCGCGTACACCGTGTCCTTTGCTTCTTGTTCGTGTTCAATGGCTGCGTCAGGAGAGCGGCAGCAGGCGCTCGGGGACACGGGCGGCTTCGTCTCGCGCACACCGTGTCCTGTGCTTCTTGTTCGTGTTCAATGGCTGCGTCGGGAGAGCGGCACGGCGGCATCAGGCAGCCGGGACGACCCTGGAACGAGGGGGAGTTCAACCGGCGCCACGCCACCAGTAGCAGCGCGCAGCCCACGCGCGGGCTACACGGCACGCATGCGGCTTCCTTCGGCGGTCGAGGAGGGTGACGGCCGAAATCGCAACTTCCGGCGTTTAGAGCGCGGAAGCGGTGGCCGCCGCCTGGGTGTCTTCTCTGGGCGTTGGTGTCACATGGCAGAGTCGCAGCAGGGCGCGAGCGGCGAGGCCCGCCGACACACCCGCGTATCGTGGATGTGCGCTCGTGCGTCCTCTCGTCAATGCTGTGGTGCGACGGTGCTTCAGGTTGCGCGGTCACGCGCTCAGCCGAAGTACGGGGGGCCTGCAGGCGCTCCCCTAGGTCGTCGAGCTCGTTCCGGGCCCCTGGTCGGCCCGCAGGCGACCCGGCTCGAGGCGATCGGTTCGAGGACGACTGCGGTAGCTACGGGATGTAGCTCTCCATACTTCGGCCAACCGTATTTTTTTCCATAAAAAGACAGCTTAGCACAACGCGTGGTCACCTGTGCACGCGGCTGCAGGTAGCCGTCTCCAGCCGCGCAGACTCACGCGAGGGGGGTCGCGACAGAGGAGGTGCCCGAGGACGGACACGGTCAGGAGAGGCCGTGTTGGAAATCAGAAAAGCTCAACTACCCGCCACACTGAAGGCTATATAAACAAGCCTCAAGCAACGGCTCACACACTTTTTTTGCCGTTCGTTGTACGGAACGGACGTGCTGCCGGTCGATAGGATTTTGTTGAATTTTAATTTATTTTATTTAGTTGTTGTGTTATTTTGTTTTTATTTTAGTAAATCCGCTTCTGATACCTAAAAGTATGTTTTAATACATCTTTTCAATTAATAAACAGTACAGGCGGAACTCGAATTCACAATCAACAGCCGTAGTGCCATCTGGGACAGCCGTGTCCTGTAACTCTATTTTTTGTATTTCTAAAATACATTTACGTAGTGCAAATAAAAGCTTATTTGAATAAAACACTTTTTATGGGTTTAAAACGCAAAAAATATGTTCATTTTGCGTTTTAAAAAGTATATTTTTACTTACATATAATAAATAGTATATGTTAAAAACTGTCTGTAGTTTACACGAATAGTACGTATTTAGGAATGGTTTAAAATGCGAAATATATTAATAAAACATATTTAAGAATTATTTTAACTACGGGGAGACTAAAGTATTAAGGATGCTTTGCAGCTTTCGAAACGTCGGACCGTAGTTATAATAAGTTTAAGTAATATATTTCGCGTTTTAAACCGTTAAAGTGTTTTCTTTCAATAATATATGCTTCTAAAGTTGACTCATACCTCTAACATATAAGAAAACAGTGAAACAAATCGATAGAACATTAGTTATTACGCATAAACGAGTCCGAAACGTTGCTTGCGACATATGTCGCGCCCAGCGGTCGCAATCAAAGGGGGTTCACGCTTAATTGGAGCTCCTACGCTGCAGCTAATAAGGAATGTGGAGGTCTTTGTGACTCCTTTTCGGTTATGGACTCCTAGTATTTGCGATGCGCTGTGTAATTCGTTAGAGCACAAAGGAAGGTTTTACTCAAATGCCGCAGTTGTATGAGTATGTCGTGGGTTCAGAGTCCGTCTGTGTCACTTTACTTTCAGAATCTAAATGTAAAATATAGAAATAATACATATACCGCTTGACATTATTATAATAATTTCGTAATTAAAAGGAGATGCAGACACTTCTATTTTCGCTCACAACCAATAAGGCTATACCTATCACTATTATTATAATATCAAATTGTATGGTCGCTGTCTAAGAAACGAACCGTAGGGTTTTGCTGAAAATCAGTGTTGTAACTGCCCTGCAGCACATGCTGACACAATAGATTTTTGGCTTTATTTCAAATTAAATTATTTTTTTTCTAGGATTGTACTAAATGAATGCCAAATAAAGAGATTTATTATTATTAAAACGGACATTTTGGCTAAGATCGACATTAAATTAGATTGAATATAATTAAAAACGAAAATAAATTGAAAAATTTTTCGACCCGGGGGGGCCGATTGACCGGCATCGTCACTTTCCGTGCTGTTGCTCTACAATTGAGTACCGAGTCCTACACCTATCGTAGATTGAATATAGCTACAATAATATTTAAGTAGGTATATTTAAATAAAACTCTTTTAACGGTTTTAAAATTCGAAATGTGTTAGTTAAACTTATTATAAATACGGACCGTCGTTTCAGATGCATTGTAGCAGTAGTTCTTGCGATAACTATATTTCAAATTTTAAACCGTTAAAAGTGTTTTATTTTAATATAAATATGATTGTAGCTTACATAGACTGACATAAGGATTGCCTTGTTTCCTGGAACTTTTATAAAGCTTTAAATGAGTTGCATCGTGTCTGTAGTTAACGCGAGTAGTACATATTTAAATAAAACATTTTAACGGTTTAAAACGCGATATAGTCTACCCGTGACCACGGCAGCTACAAAGTATCCGTCGGGCCGTTGTTAAAAATAATTTTCAAACAAGCTTAACTAAAAATATATCGTGTTTTATACCGTTAAAGTGTTTTATTTAAATGAGTTGCATCGTTCAACGTGTATAGCGGCAAGGCCAATACGCGTATGTGCTTCCGATATTTGTTGATATAAAGTAGATGTTATCATTTTTAAAACCTGTGTGTCTCCGTTATACTTTTGGTACATCGCAGTCACAGTTACTAGGATCGCATGAATCGCGACAATAACAAAAACAATTGAAGACTACAGCCGCAGAGGCAGATAATGAAGCGAGTTAAAACGGTCGGCCGCCCAAACTGAATGCCTTCATTGTACCGCACCCGTTCTGCGGTCACACGGTATGGGGTGCTCGTAATTAGTTTAAATCTTCCGTTTCTATAGCATTTGCGGTGGATACTTTGATTTATACACTGGGTACCGGTGCCTTGTCGCTCCTCTGGAACGCCGAAAGGACTAGTGCACTAGTGCGACACTTAAGAAAGTGTTGTTAAATTCTTGACGAACTCTAACGAATTTATAAATCTAAATAAATGAATGGTAAAATTAAATTTAATGAGTATAAATCAAATTTTAGGTATGCAGAATCAGATTTTATGGAAATTTTATCTAATATTATCGCTTAACATAATCTTTTGCCTATCCAAGTGCCTATTAACGACAGTCTTACATATCGCATAATCTAAAATGATTTTAAAGAGTAAAGAAAATTATTCATTTCTTTATTTTATTAAGACTTACTAAGTAACATGTTATAAAACGAACTATATAAGATTATAATAACCGCCCTTATGTTTCTGTTTTATAAGTATATATCATTCTACAGAATAAATACAAAACGAATAAATTGAAATCCGACATCCCGTTTTCCGCAGTGGGGCATGGGGCGAACACATTTCTTTGTTGGTTTCAATCGGATCGGTTTTTTTACAGGCAAGATGATGAGATTTCTCTGTCCTGGCCGACCGAAATAATTTATTACTGGGATTCGAATATAGAACCACCTTATAGGGCCTAACACAATGGTAGGCAACATATTTACCCATTTAGCTACTGAGAAGGTCAAGTGATTAAACTTCATAACAATAAATAAATTTTATAGGTTAGATTCTTCTTTCTTGCCAACCAAATTTCCCTCTAATTTGTCCTAATAAACTGTCTTTGCTTTTTGTACAGTACAATTCTTAGATAATAACTTTCATTTATGGAACTTGTAACACATGAGGGTGTTACAAAAAGTAGACGCACCACTAAATGCAATGTGCTTCAAGTTCTCGGTATTGTCGATAAAATGGAGAAGATATGTCCGCCGTGGTTCGAATTATGTTGTATAGCAATATAATAGCTCCTTAGGTATGCTACACCTGGTTGAGCTTTTAAGTTAGTACGTATAAACACAATAATTACAGGAATATGTATTCTTATAATTCCAATTGTGTTTTGGAGGATTTGAATATGTAATGTTAACTTAAAAATCTATTTGCGATACGGTAGATCTATTGGTTAGAGCTGTGAAAAAGTGAAAGTTTTTAAATATTTGATGTAGTTTTGGCATTTTAACAACTTGGCTTGTTAACTGTTACAAAATATAGCAAAGTTTTGACCACTTTCCGCGTTATAATAGAGTATTTAGTTTTTTGTACTCGTTTATTTAAGATTTCTAGAAAACATTTTTCTAGAGTA